GGCACCTGTACCTGTACTTTGGTCGAAGCTGGAGCATTGCGCAGAAAAAAAAAAAGAACGGCGCAAAGAGATGCCGAAACGAATAAAGGAGGGAAGGGGGAAGGGGGGGGGTTGGGAGGTAAAAGTTTTCTCGTAGTGAGCTTCTATGCACCTCTGCTTCATGATACGCTCAAAGATTTTGAGGACTTGCACTAGCTTCCACCCTGCACAGAAAAGACCCGCGACGGGGCAGGTCGCCAGCTTGTCTGAACAAGCTTCGTCCGCCCCCGCACGCCTAAGCTCCCACTCCACTGCCCCCCCAACCCCCTCATCCTGTGCCCAATCGCAGAAAGCATCCTTTCCGTGCTTGAGCGCGCCTGCCAACATCTCAGAAGTATCTGAACAATATCCTCAATCTGACGTTTGCGCATTCCCTTTGCACGAGCTGCAAGCTCGCCCGTAGGTGCGCAACGTTCCGTAGGCTATCCGTTTCTTGCAAGCGAAAACCCCTTCTCGTCCTGTCCCTCCCTTGCTCTGATGCTTCTCGTCCGGCTCGTGAAATACGAGAGAAGAGGTGGAATCGAGAGCGAAGGAGAGGGCGAGAGAGAGAGAGAGTTGTCCTTCATCATAATCTGTTGGTGCGACGCATGCGACGCTTTGCTCGTACTGCCCTGATCTAGGCCCCACCCTTCCCGTCGCATTCCAGACAATAAGAAGATGAAGGGGATAGGCGCGCGCAAACTCACACTAATTCCCTCTTTTGCCTATCCAGGACCCCCCGTCTCCTTTTGCCCTCGCTCGATACGCCTTGGACATTCACTGCGGAATGCGCAAGTTAGCGAAACGAGCGAGCGAAGGGCGCCGCACCGGTAAAATGCGAGTGGGGAGTTGTCGGGGAAGTATGCTGCCCCTTGGTCGAAAGTGCGAGGCGAGCTGTTGCAAAAGTGCAGCGAAGGGTGTTGCTTGGCGATCGAAGGCCAAAGGAACAGAAAAGGCGAGCTACGGAGAGGGGACCACACTGCTCGCTCGACCTTTGCGAGGCCCAGCTCGGTGTCGAGTCGAGGGTGCGAAGGATTGAAAAGGTTTGCCCTGCCCTTCCTGGCGCGGCGTGTGAATGAGAGACAAAGGCAAGAAGCTGACTAGGGTTCCACTCCAGCTCCTCCCTTTCCCAGAGCGGAAGCTGTGCGCAGACCTTTCCGAGGCGAAAGGAGAGGTATAATGCAGATGACTGATGGGCACGAAACGGGATAGCGCAACTGGAGCGGATTGGATTTTTGCTGCGATTGAAAGTGATTTGCTGGGAAATTGTTGAAAGATGCGTGGAAGAGAAGCCCGAGACGACGAATGGGCTGCGTAACTGTGCTTCAATACAAAGAGCTGACCAGCCTGCAGATAGCGAAGCGTAAAAGGGGCGGATCGAGTGTCAGAGTAGACACGTGCGATGGCTGGGAATAGGGAGCTGCTGCCGCTGCCGCAGTGGTCTCGCGGCGCGGTCGATGACCTGCGCAATGGCAGCGTAAATGTACGACTCACCAATCCAAGCCCTCTTCCAACCCTTGACCCTTGAGTGCGGAGCATCCCTGCACAGTCCAGCTCCTCTCCTTCATCTCCACCAAGTCGAGTCTTTCGGTGATCTGTTCCGCCTTGAGCGCATGATCCAGATCCTGCTTGTTGGCCAACACCAACAATTTCGTATTCTTCAATTCCTCTTCTTGCAAGATGGCGTGCAACTCTTCCTTGCTGCTATCCAACCTCTTTGCATCGGCCGCATCGATGACAAAGATGATGGCGGTAGTGTTTGCGTAATAACATCTCCAATAAGGTCGGATACTGCTTTGACCTCCCAAGTCCCATACTTGAAAGGAGATGTTCTTGTAGCGTACAGTCTCGACGTTGAAGCCTATCGTTGGTGTCGTACCCACCACCTCACCCAACTGTAATCGGTACAGGATGGTGGTCTTGCCTGCGCTGTCTAGTCCTAGCATGAGGATGCGCACTTCTCGATTGCGCGACCAGAAGGCTAGAGGACCTAGCATGGAGGAGAATGTGATCCCCATGATGTGAGAGTGAGAGTGAGAGTGAGAGTGAGAGTGAGAGTGAGAGTGAGAGTGAGAGTGAGAGGGAGAGGGAGAGAGGTATGAACTGCCTCGAACCCTTTGCGGCTTCGGCCTATCGTATCTCGTCGTCGTGCAGTGCTGGTTACGAAAAAGATGTGGCTAAGCTGCCTGACTGATGAGTCGTACTGTGACTGTATGCGTGTCGTGAATGCTGAATTAGGCTTGGCTCAAGGGCGCAGTCAAAGTGAGGTAAAGAGAGAAGGGGAATCGTGAATGCAAATTGACAATGACAGCACAAGTCTGAGAAAAGGCATACAGCGCGCGCGCTCAGCTAGCCGAGGTCCGCACCTGCCACGATGGAAATCGGGACCGCGGCGGGGACAGGATCAAATCTTTGAATATAGGTACAGTAGCTGAGCACACATCACACCACGTGACCACTATCCCTCCTCCACTTATGCCGAAATTCAATTCTTGATTGAAATCAAACCTTTTTCTTTTTCTTTTTCTTTTTCTTTTTCTTTTTCTTTTTCTTTTTCTTTTTCTTTTTCTTTTTCTTTTTTGGACTCCAATAAGCCTCCCGCGGACCGCGCGCTCTTTTCTTGCTGGAAAAAGTCAAAAGTCAGGAGTGTGAGTGTGAGTGGTGAGTCAAGAGTCTCATCAGTGTGAATGTTGCCCACGTTCGCGCGTGATTGACATTTTGTACCCCTTCACCATCCTGCTACACGACCGCGTTGTGCTTGTGCATCATCATCATCATCATCATCAGCAGCAGCAGCAGCAGCACTCACACTCGCGATTCTATTCAAGATTGGAAAGAGTAGTGTGGCAGTGTCGCTTTGCGTCGCAGCGAAGTAGCTCGGGGTAGTAGTGAGAGGAGGAGGAGGAGGCAATCAAGGTGCAAGCACGATGAGCTCCGCTGCTAGCAACCGCGGTGCTGGTGCTGGTGCTGCAGGTGCAACACTAAAGAGCGGCAAAGCACAGCGCATCTCTTCTCCCTCCGCATCCATCCATCTGCCATGCACACCTTACATTACCCACATTGTGCCAGTGCAGGCGGGATATGCAGAAGCAGAAGCAGAAGCAGAAGCAGAAGGGTGCTCGCACTTGGTGGTGGGATCATCGGACGGATCTGTGCGACTACATCAATGCGCATCCCTCGAGCCTATGGCTGAGCTTCCATGGCATCTCCTCCCCTCCTCCTCCTCCTCCGCTTCAAGCAACCAAGGAGCCATCTCTGCGCTTTTAACTCTTCCAAGCGCTAGCTCCAGCACAGGCTCCAGCTCCAGCTCCATCTCCAACGCGCAATCATCACAGAACATTCGTGTCTTGTGCGCCACCAATCAGGGTTGCGGAGCTATTCTTTGGCATCCCTTCGAAACCGCTGCTGCACAGAACAGCGCACGCCCTTCTGAAAACTCGCTCAAGCAGTTGAAAAGTTCAAATGGAGCGCCCTATCTTTGTCTGGCTTGTTCCAGCGATGGAAGATACGTGGCAGCTGGGACGGAAGTGAAGAATTACGAAGCGGTGATAGATCTGTGGTGAGTGGGCACGTCGTGTTGGCGCATCGACATACGCACGAGTGGCTGATGATGCATGCGATCACGTCCAAATCGACCTTCAATGATACGATGCATCGCATCGCATCGCATCAAATCAATCCAAACAATACAATTCAAATCAAATCAAATCAAAATACAGGGATCTACTCTCCTCCACCTCTTCTCCTCAATTCACATACACCGAATCGCACTCCGACGATATCACCTCTCTCTCCTTTCATCCTTCTCACACTCATCGGCATTTGTTGCTGAGCGGTAGTACGGATGGACTATTGTCCGTATTGGATACGCGCACCACGGACGAAGATGATGCGGTTCTTGGAGTTTGCAATATGGACGCTAGCATTGCCAGAGCTGGATGGTGTGCACAAAGCTCCGCTTGCGATCAGTCTGGGATGTTGCGAGCGAGGAAGGAGGAAGCGCTGTTTAGCGGTGTGGATGCAACGATGAACATGCAGGAGGAAGAGGAGCTGAATGTAAAGGAAGAGAGAGCAAAGGGAATGGGGGACTTTTGGTCGGTCAGTGATATGCAGAGTGTAGCCATCTGGAACGAAAATGTGAGTTCCCTTTTTCCATCTTTGACTTGGCACTGCCCTGTCCCACTCTGCATTCGGTGTCGTCTGGATCAGCCTGCAACCTCGTGGTTCCCCACTTGGACTCGATGAAGTTACAAGATACTGACGATATGTTTCGCCCCCCTCCCCTCTCCATGTTTGTCGCATTGGAAAAGTTCGATGCGGTCTTGCAGCCGCTAGATGTCAGATCGGTGGGATGCAGAGAGTGGCAGACGGATTACATCATCGATGCGTTTAGTCCTCGAAAGTGGCGCGCGGATGGAGCGAGGAGCAGGCATGCGCAAGCTACTCGTCTCATCTTCTGGGTCGGCACCATCTCGTGAGTCTTTCGTGTCGCCCCATGTTTCCCCACTTCAACTTGATTTGGCTCCATGCTCGCGCGTATCATGCACTTTGAAATCAAACGCAACTCACATCGATTCCTCGTGTTCTCTCTGTCTCTCTGTCTCTCTCTCTCTCTCTCTCTCCCGAAAGAGGAAAAGCTCTACGAATCGATCTGGAGCTGGATGGGCAGGACGGTTCGACCGGCTGGACTATGAAGACTCTTCTGTCGGATTCGGATTCGGACTCTACCGCTTCTGCCGCCTACGACGCCGTGCAAGTTCCTCAGATCTCTTCCCCTCTCCGCTCCAAAGGCCATTCCGACATTGTTCGATCCATCCATCAAGCAGGAGAAGCGCGGCAAGGAGAGATCTTTATCTTTACGGGCGGAGAAGATGGTTGTTTGATGCGCTGGCAAGCAGATGCTCATCTCTTCTCTTGCGCCGAGCATTTCAACTCAAGCTCGACGGCTTTGCAAATGATTCCTTTGGATGAGAATACGAGGCAAGAGCTGGTGATGGATGTGGATATGCAGCAGGGGCAGGGGCAG